ACAAGTTACAGAGGCAAAGGAAGGGCCCTGGGAGCTTCGGAGTGAGGAAGGTAAAGGCGAGGTGTCCAGAGGGGTGGGGGGAAGGGGAGGGGGTGCGCGCTGGGTCCTCTTAAGGGTGGAGATTCTAGGGGAGGTCCCAGGGGAAGATCTCAATAGAATGTTCCGCAGCTTTCCAGGTGTGTCCTCGCAGGGCCGGGCTCTCCACTGATTGGTTGGCGCCAGGGCAGGCGGCTGGTCATGAGGTCAGCCGTGGTGTTGCTTGTCCGGTTTTGCTGCTTTTCCAGTCTAAATGTTATCTCTAGGGAGGAAAGGTCAGGGGTCCAAACCACAGGGGCAGCGATATGCTGGGGAGGAAAGGTCACCCTGGGGGTGAATGAGGTCCCACCTGTTAGGGTCACCGAAGGAGGTACGCACGAGGCCGAAAGTGGTAAAGAATTATACATTGCCCTAGCTCAGGGGTCGGCAAACTGTGGCTCGCAAGCCACCGTTTGCCGACCACTGCCCTAGCTGGTTTGGTTCAGTGAATAGAGCGTCGGCCTGTGGACTGAAGAGTCCTGGGTTCTATTCCAGTCAAGGGCACATGGCCGGGTTGCGGGCTCCATCCCCAGTAGGGAGCGTGCAGGAGGCAGCCAATCAATGATTCTTTCTCAGCATTGATGTTTCACTCTCTCTTTCTCCCTCTCCTTTCCTATCTAAAATAAATAAAAATGTATTAAAAAAGAACTATACATTTACTAGACGCTGGGTGCACAAATTCATGCACCAGTGGGGTCCCTCGGCCTGGCCTGTGGGAACAGGCTGAAACCGGCTCTCCAATATCCCCTAAGAGGTCCTGGATTGTGGGAGGGCACAGGTCAAGCCGAGGGACCCCAATGGTGCATGATTGGGGCGGAGGAGGGACTTGGGAGGTTGGCCAGCTGCGGAGGGACCACGGGAGGGCTCCAGGGCATGTCTGGCCCATCTCACTCAGTCCTAGTCCATCGGCTGGACCCCAGCAGCAAGCTAACCTACCGGTCGGAGTGTCTGCCCCCTGGTGGTCAGTGCACATCATAGCAAGTGGTTGAGCAGCCTTAGCATATCATAGAGTGTTGACCTGCGGACCGAAGGGTCCCCGGTTCGATTCCGGTCAAGGGCATGTACCTCGGCTGCAGGTTCCTCCCCAACCTGGGCCCTGGTCCGGTCACATGCAAAAGGTAACCAATCGATGTGTTTCTCTCACATCGACATTTCTCTGTCTTTCCCTCTCTTCTACTCTCTAAAGATCAATGGGAAAATATCCTTGGGTGAGGTTTAAAAAAACACACAACCAAAAACTTAGTATCCTAATTTAAGGAGGATGAACATGAGGCTGGATGTCCATAAATGATTTCTATTAGAGTCATCTATTTTATTTTTTAAATATACTTTTATTAATTTCCAAGAGGAAAGGAGAGGGAGAGAGAGATAGAAACATCCATGATGAGAGAGAATCATGGATGGGCCGCCTCCTGCACGTCCCACACTGGGATCGAGCCCGCAACCCGGGCCTGTGCCCTGATCGGGAATCAAATGGTGACCTCCTGGTTCGTGGGTTGACGCGCCACCACTGAGCCACGCCGGCCGGACTAGAGTCATCCATTTTAGTCATCAAATATTTGTCAAGACAGCGTGATAAGAACCAAAGTCCCTTCTCCTCGAAATAGCTAGTGCCAGGAATGACTGATCAAGGACGCTGCAAGGAGGGAAGCGAGCTGAGTTTTGGAAGCACATAGAAGCAAGAAGAAGAAAAAAAAATCCAAAAAAACCTGTCAGCGCTGTCCCTGGTTCCCCCTTCCCGGATGCTGCCTGAGTCATCTCCGTGTTCCTCAGGAAAGACCGGCTTCCTCCACATGCCAAGACAGATGGTCCCGAGAGCGCCCACGTTTCAGAGAGAATGACTTCCGTGGCAGGAGGAACAGAGAGATACTCCACCCCCACTGCGCTGCTCCCCCATGTGACCTTGCCAACCCGGGGCTGGAGCGAGCGGAGGCTCCCCCAGAAGTGCCGTTCCTGGGAAGTTTCTGGGCGAACTGGATGCCCGCACCCCGGGTCCATGGACACCCCACCCCCCAACCCGTGCAAACGGGGCCTCTGTTTGGGGCTGCGTGCTCCCAAGGTCACCCTTTTGAAGTTCTTCATCAGTCATCTTTGCACCTCTGTTTTAGGTATTTAAAGATTTTTATTTTTTAAATTGGTTTTTAGACAGAGAGAGGAAAGGAGAGGGAGAGAGAGAGAAACATCGATCGGATGCCTCCTGCACGCCCCTGACTGGGGATGGAGCCCGCAACCAGGGTATGTTCCCTGACCAGGAATCAATATGGCAACCTTTTGGTGCCCCGGACGACACACTGAGCCACCCCGGCCAGGGCCATTGGTTGATTCTTGGATGTGCCCTGACCGGGATTAGAACCTGCAGCATTGGTGTATCAGGATGATGTTCTAACTTACTGAGCCTCCCGGCAGCCAGAGCTAATTTAATTCTTTAAAAAAAAATTTTTATAATACATATTTTATTGATTTTTTTTTACAGAGAGGAAGGGAGCGGGATAGAGAGTTAGAAACAGATGAGAGAGGCCTCCTGCACACCCCCTCCTGGGGATGTGCCCACAACAACGGTACATGCCCTTGACCAGAATCGAC